TCCCCCCCCCCCCCCCCCTCCCCTATAAACACAACCCGCACCACACGTCCAGAAGTGTCGAAGTGGTGGTGACACCCCCCAAACATCAAGCGGAAAAACCAAACAGCAGTCTGACTCCTAGCTCTCGTTCCTTCCTTGTCGTAGCCCTCGGACCACAGTCTTGCAATCCCAAAGCGAAAATTTGCCGACAACAAACGCAAGCAAGACACACCGCTATAGCGCCCGCGTTTTTTGAGGAACGTCAATCTGGGGTCGAGAGGCTCAATTTCTTTTTTTGTCCCCACCGTCGAGCACAGGTCACTATTAATCTATTAACTCTACAGAGTAGGATCCACGGGTGAGCTTGCTACCATGTTTTTATCAATCCTATCTTCTCAGAAAAGTTGAGCCTCTTAAAGCCCTGTTTCTTGATCGCGGGCGCTGAAGCGGGGAGAGATGGCGGGGTCATCTCAACGACCTTGCCCTTGCACCCCCGTCCTCGCCGCCGCCTTCAACCACGGTGCCCCCCTCTTCCTCCTCCTCCTTGCCGGAACCGTCGTTACCCTCGACCTCGATGCGAGGCACCTCCTCCCCCCCTCTCGCCGCACCCCCCCGTTCCGCGTACACCGCCCAGGCCATCTCGAGCAGCAGGATTCCGATCTCGTTGGGAGGCCCGGGCATGCAGAAGTGTGGGTTGTTCTCCCCTTCCACCACGCCCTTTTATTGAGGTTTACAACAACAACGGGGGGGGGGTCTTCCTTTCAGGTTGTTTGTGTCGGTCGTACCGGCATCACTAGAAACAAGCACGGTAAATATGTATGGTCTGCGCGGAATAAAAACGAGAAAAAAACTTGTCTTCGCAACCAGCCACTTGTGCTTATTCGTCTGCTGTACCGCGTCGCCCGAAATCCCGCTTGCTCTCCGCGCGTTCTCTCGAGCTTCGGGACAAGGCGCGATGTTCTACCAGTAGACGCCCCATGCATCGCACAATGTTCGAGGTGTGTGTGTTCGGGGGGGGGGGGGGTGTTGACGTGTGGGGGCATCCCCACGACCTGTTGCCAACAACAACAACAACAACAAGCATCACATCAAAAAAGACAACAACAACAACAACAACAACAACAACTATTAATACCATCGAGGACGACAACAAGAACAACAACAACGACAACAACCGCAATAACAACAACAACGACAACAACCACCACCATCGAGGACAACAACAAGAACAACAAGAATAACAACGACAACAACAGCAACAACCACCACCACCATCAACAACAACATGAGGACATTAACAACAACGACAACAAGAGCAACAACGACAACGACAGCAACGACAACAACCAATAAAAACAACAAACACCATTAACAATAACCACCATCAGCAACAACAACAACCAATAAAAACAACAAACACCATTAACAATAACCACCATCAGCAACAACAACAACCAATAAAAACAACAAACACCATTAACAATAACCACCATCAGCAACAACATGAGGACAACAACAACAACAGCAACAAATCAAAAACCGCACCTTGGTCAGGTACTTGAGGCTCTTCACCATCCGGTGAACGGGCACGAAGCGCGCCCCTGAGTCCCAGAACAACGCCTGCTCCTCCGGCAGCCAGGCGCCCACGTCCCCTTCCCCCTCGTACGCAGACGTCCAAAACAGCGGAACCCCCTCTTCCTTGAGCAGGTTCGCCACACGTAAAACTTCCGACACCTGTGATCGGTCAGAGTTTTGGGGGTGTAACTATTCATTGGCCGCCATCGCGATAAATTAAGCTAAAAGAGGAAATATAATACAATAGGGAGGGAGGGACGTGGTACGCAGACCCTTGTCCCTAACCTGACCTAACCCAACTTCCCCCGATTGCATGCTTTACCCAGCATGTTTTTACATAATGGTAGAAAAAACCTGCGAGGGCTGCTGCTATTATTTATCGTGTTTGTTTTGTATCAGTAGTCGTCGTTTCGGGGTATAACATGTTTGGCATCAGACGGCGTTTTGGGGGTGCAACACGCGTTTCGCATCCGATGGCGTTATTTGGGGTGTGCATATTATCAAAACATGTTTGGCATCTTGCCAACAAGATGGTTGATTCCGGCCGCTGATAGATACTCCGTCCTCGGTTTTTTTTTGTTCCGACGACGCCAATAGGAAACAGGCTCATGGCCGCGGTGTTTCTTCGGGAATCTGCACAGCAGACGAACCCGGTTCGCAGGCATAACTAGAACCAATGAAAAAGGTCGATTTACTAACTCTCTCCTCTCTCTCTTGCCTGTAATACAGCCTGGACCATGTATTGTCTCTTGTACAGGGACTACTGGTGTCTCCCATACATGGACAGTAGAGAAAACTACGTCTCTTTTACAAGGACAACCACTGCCTCACTACAGGCGCCACTGCCGCCATATGCAGGGGCCACTACTGGGACCACTATTGCCTTATGCAGGGACCGCTGCTACTGTCTCTTGTTCTCTTGTACAAGGACTACTTCTGCCTTATGCAGGGACCACACAATCCTTATGTCCGCCTTATACAGGGACCACCACAAAAGACGGGTCTATTTCATTTTCGTATACCTTTTCTGGGCAAGTTAGCCTGTGACCACGGGAATCGACCCCGTCAAGTGTTAAACTAGTATAGTACGGGCAGAAGAAGGTACTGGGCAGAGAGAACGGAACGGGTAACTACTGTGAAGACAACAACAACAACCACCACAATACAGGGACCACTCCATTACTGTCCTACTATAGGGACCACTATTTAAGCTGCCGTACCTCCATCCGCGGATCGTTGCCAAGGTTTCCGACGACAGCATCGTAGGACGAGTACTCCGTCCCCCGGTATTGCAAGGCATCCTCGAACCGCTTGTTCTCCTCCTTGTGCGCGAAGTGGTAGTGGATGGCCGCTCCGTTGTCGAACTCGAAGACGCTCTCGTCGTCGTCGCACCTAAAACAAAAAAAACACAAAAAACAAACGTGGTCGTTGTTGTCGTACGGTGCTAAAGCAAAGGGTCGCGAGGTAGGTACGGGGATTGCACCGTGTCGTGGCTTTTGCCAGTATTACTGCCACCACCACCCACCACCCACCACCACCACCACCATCAACAAGAACAAGAACAAGAACAACACACTCACCTGCACGCCTCCTCCTTCGCGTCCTCCGAGATGCACTCGTGCTCGAGGAGCGTCCTGCGCAGCTTGCGGGAGTAGACGCAGCTCCGGCACTGCAGGTCCTCGTCCACCAGTGTGTCCTCCTGAGCCAAGCTCTCCCCGTCCACTACCACCCTGAGGCATCGGCTCCGGATCGACGACGAGTACGCGCAGACGATGCCTTCCACCACCTTTTTTGGCGCCCGCGTTCAAGAACCGTCAGTTTGGGGTCGAGGCTCATTTCTTACGTAGAGAGTTTTATGTGTATGTATAGGATCGATCCACGCCTGAGGTTAGTTTCTTAGTCAACGTTTCTTATCTATCGCCACGATCTGAGCCTTTGTTTCTTGAAACAAGGCACGGGCGCCTTCATGTAACCGTGAATTCACACCTGGTTTTCACGCCTCCGTGCCCGTATTAGACTTACGTACGTTGCTCGATAGTTGAGTTTGACCCGTTCGTGTCTTGTGTGCTTCTTGGTTCTTCGTTTATGACAAGATACAGCAGAGTACATCGGAGTTTCTGAGGGATGGACTCGATGGCTCGAGAGGATCCGAAAACCGTGAATGTCCGTCCATAACAGCAGGCGCGAATGCTCGGGGCAGAGGAGGCAGTTGGGCGCGGCCGGTTGGCGGCTCAGCAGCAGCGGAGCCCTTCGACTAAGGTGCCAATGCACCGACAGAAACAACACCCCAACACAAGACAAACAAACCAACAAACAAACCTTCTACATCCCTGCACCTGCAATATACGATGGACGATGGGAGAACATCGCATCCATCCCCAGCCCGCGCGCGTCGGCGTCGGTGCTGGCCGGCAGCGAGAGCTAAATATTGTCAAACCTCGAGAATGTGCTCATTTCATGGCTGCCTGCGGGATCCTCAAGCCTTAACACCATGCAAAGCGGTTTTTTCCCGCGGAAACAAGCTTGGGCAATACCTGCCGGAGGTGGGAGTTCCCGTAGAACAACACCCGGAAGCCGGGCGGCAGGGGCTCGTTCTGCAGAGCGCTCCGTTCTCTTCGCTCGCACCCCCCGCTAGTGCTCCACTTGGGGTACCCTCCCGTGCCCAGGTTTGGGCAGAAGTAGCTGCACGCGTGGGTGGGTAGAGGCATTACATTGTTGTTGCTGTTGTTGTTGTTGTTGTTGTTGTTGTTGTTGTTGTTCCACTCCCCGAACATACCCAACTGTAGAACAACAGCAGCAATCCACAAGGGCAAAACAACAAGCAAAACGAGCACCTGGCATTCAGGGCCCTTCCTGCCCTTCCACTCCCCGAACCTATCCAACCGCGGAACAGCAGCAGCACTCCACAAAGCGCTTGATTCAACCAACAAACAAGACAAAAACAAAAACAAACAGCAGCAGCACCTGGCTTTCAGGGTCTCACACGTGCAGTCGAACGGAGGCGCCACCATGCTGCTCTTGTCCCACATCCCGGAGAGGTCGTCGCCGCCGTCGCCACCGCCGCCGTCCTCGTAGTGGCCGTGCGGCGGAACAAGGTCGTCGACGGTACACGCTCTTGCGCCGCCGCCGCCGTTACCGGCGGTCCCACCCCCCTCCTCCCCCGCGCCACCAGACGACAAAGACTCCGACTCTTGGGGGGGCGTGGACAGGGATAAGGTGACAACCTCGGCCCCCTCCGCCGAGGGGTCCGCGAAGCTTGAAACCACCGCGGAGGCCAGCAGGAGAACCACCAGCGAGACCGCCATCACCCCATACAGCGGCAGCTGTTTTTTCGTTCGGTACATAGATAGATGAGTGTGCAGAGCCAATGTTGAAAGAAATACGAAAGGTGCGGGGCAGGGGGGGGGGGGGGGGGGGAAAAATTTAAAGCCTTTTTTTTAAAATTCTTTTTTAAAAAGGAAGTTTTTTTTGGGGGGGCCCCCCCCTTTTAGGGGGTAAAAGGTTTTATTTTTATTCCAATTTTGGGGAAAATTTCCCGGGGCCGGAAACGGGGTTTCCCCCACCCCCGCCCCCCCCATTTAACAAATCCCTTCCTTTCTTCGGTATTTGAAAAAAAATATAAAGGCCCCCCTTTCCCCCCCGGGGGGCCTTTTTTCCGCTTTTAAACCCCCCCGGGGGGATTAAATTTTCCTAAATCCCCCCCCTTCTCCAAAAAATTTTTTCCTTAGGGTTTTGAAAGGAAAATCCCCTGGGGGGTTTCCTTTCCCCCCCCCCCTGGTTAAACCCTTTTGGGAA